ACCCCCACCCCCCAGCTGTGCGAGCCTCCTCAGGACCCGCAGGTGCTGGGGCCCTGGGCACCACGAGAGCCATACTCACCAGTGCTGGGTAGGAGGGGTAGCCGCTGCACTTGGCCCACACCACCTTCAGGGGCTCCAGCACTGAGGCGGCAGCATCGGTGGAGATCCACATGCTGTTCTGGCCAACTTCTGTGGAGAGAGGCACGGCGTCAGCAGGACAGAGGGGGCGTGCCCTGCCCCCCCACAAAAGGTACACAGCAACAGGGTGGGGTCTCCGGAGCACAGCCCAGTTCCCAGGCCTTTCTCACCCACCCCCGGCAGCACCACTGCCTCTCTTGTGGAGTCCAGGCCCCTGCATCCCCCCGCGTCCCTGCAGCCCACCTGGGGACCCACCAGCCTCCCACGGACCCAGAGAATCTTCTGCCCACCGGGCTGGAAGGCTCTGACTCCAGGTGCCCAGCATAGTCCCTTCTGAGACCTCCTTGCCCCAAGGACGGGGCTCCCAGCGTGCTCCTGCCTCATTTATGCAGCTGACACCCCAAATCCGAAACCAAAGTCCTGGCTCCCCGTCCGCCAGACCAGCTCCCTGCTGTCCCTCCCACCAGGGGGAGTCTCCGTCCTGATGCCCCCTCACAGCATGGCTGCCTTCCACAGTGAGGGCCGTGCCAACCCCAAACCCCAGGGCCTCCCCCTCTCCCAGGAGCCTGAAGTTGGGGGCACCCCCTCTGCAGTCAGTCCCCTGTGCAGCCACAAATGACCACTGAACCTCAACAACCCCAGACAGCCTTGACAGTGCCCGGCAGCCAGGAGCCACACAGAGCTGGACGTTCCACAGGGAAACGAAGGCAGGATGGAGGAGGCGCCACCTCCACAGGCACCCCAGCAGGGCTGCAGCCCAGAGCCCCTCGGTGTATGATGAACCCCTCCCCAGGAGGCTGGCCAGGGTGGGGCTCCACACAGGGCACTGTGCTCCCTGAGCCAGAGTCCAGTCCCCAGCAGTCGAGCCCTAAGACGCTAACCGGGAGGTGTGGAGAGCCATGGCGGACGCAGGTCCAGGCGACTCACCGGCTGCGATCCTGGCCGCCTTGGCGTAGTTCCCGTTCTCGATGCAGGAGATCAGCTCACTGCGGTCCTCCAGCGTGTGCCTTCGCACAAGAGCCGGTTTGCCCCGCCCACATTTGGGCACACTAAAGCTTCGGGAGGAAGAGCAGAGGGAGTCAGGTGTCCCACCCCTGGCTTCAGCCTCTCTCAGGTTTCGTCCCGTGGGCTGCCCGCCACCAAGCTGGCCACGCGTCCTGCCTGACACCCCTGCAGCCAGGCAGGCCTGTGGGTGCACAGGTCTGGAGGGAGTGAGCCTGTGGCAGGGGGTACTCAGGAGGCCAATGAGACAGGCAGGGCTGTGCTCACTGCCAGATTCTGGGAGGAAAAGATCAAGTATCAACTTAATTGCAGTTTCTAAAATTGCGTTCCTATTTCACGTAGTGTTTTTCCTACTTCTGCTTGAATTCTATAAAGCAGATTAATATGCAGCACGCGAAACCACCCACAAGAGCAGAGCACACATGAATCCCGGGCCAGAATTTTTCAGAGGGCACTAAGATGGGAGCTGGAACGTCCTGGTCTCCAGGACAGCCAGGCAGGGCGGGTGGCTCGGGAGATGCGTGGCAGGAAGTGTGGGGCCGCGGTGCCCACCTCGAGTCGCAGAGCGGGCTGTTGCTGGAGGAGATGCTGGACTCGGAGGCGCAGCGTCGTCGGGGTGTGGCTTTCCTTCCCAGGCCGCCGCCTGGCTCCTGCTCGCTCCTCGTACCCCCAAAGCCGTTGGTGAGACCTGGAACACAGGCAGGCCAGCCCTGAGCTCAGCACAACCAGGGCGTGCCCAAGCAAGACTCAACTAGGTTCCACTTGGAACACATCTTACAAGGAACGTTTCACACACAGGTAAGACAGCATCCTCCTTTTCACTCCCAGAGTACAGTCCTTACAGTAAGCAGACACCAAAGTTACTCGTTAAATGAAATCAATGTAACAAATTGCAGTCAGCTCTGACCACAGTAGTTTGCTGAGCACCGTGAAGATGCTCCTCTTGACAAGCCCAGGTCTTTAAACAGGCTCTGTGAAGGCAAAGAAAGGATGCCGTGAGCCTGCCACAGGAGCAGATGTGCAACCTGTGAGTGCAAACACGGGGGTGGCCTGTCCACGTGGGCACACGCCGCATCGGGACGGACCCTTCACCAGGCTGAAGGGGTCACCAAAGACACAAAATCGTGTTCACAGGAGCAGAGTTCCAGGGAACAGGAAATTAGGTTTTAAAGAGAAAAAACCTTGGTTCAAAAGACAAGTGTTAACATGAAGTCAAAAATGCTGACGAAACACTTTAAAAGAGAGAATCCTGGGCCATCGCCGTGTCTGAGTGTATCTGGCCTCACTCACTATGAAGCTGCGATCACTGGCATTCAAGTATTATACACAGCTACACAAAACACAGTCTACAATTCCATCATCTCAACATTTGAAAAATAAGGCAAATCTCAGTATTTTCCCCCTAAAAAGGCCTGACTTTATGTCAGTCAACAGGAAACAACATATGTGCCCAAGGTCCCCCCACGAGGTCCCCCACGGGAGTCACAACAGGGGGACGATGTTCCCGCCAGGGCAGCCTCTGGGTGTGAGAGCTGAAGTGGTGTGTGAAATTTTTTTTGAGACGGAGTCTCGCTGTGTCGCCCAGGCTGGAGTGCGGTGGCGGCGCGATCTCAGCTCACTGCAAGCTCCGCCTCCTGAGTTCACGCCATTCTCCTGCCTCAGGCTCCCTAGAGGCTGGGACTACAGGCGCCTGACACCATGCCCGGCTAGTTTTTTGTATTTTTAGTAGAGATGGGGTTTCACCGTGTTAGCCAGGATGGCCTCCATCTTCCGACCTCGTGATCCGCCTGTCTCAGCCTCCCAAAGTGCTGGGAGTACAGGCGTGAGCCACCGCGCCCAGCTGTGTGAATTTTTTTATCCAAAAAGAACCCCATTTTCTTGCCTACCTCATCCTTAAAAATTTTTAAATCTATTTCCAAAGGAAATTGTGTAAATTTGTAAATAAAGCATTAATGTAGAATTTTTTTTGGAAACGATGTCTTGCTCTGTCACCCAGGATGGAGTGCAATGGACTCCACAGCTCACTGCAACCTCGACCTCCTGGGCTCAAGTGATCCTCCTGCCTCAGCCTCCCGAGTGGCTGGGAGACATGTTTCGAAGGGAATGGCTGGACTGTGGGGTTTTCCACCTGCTTCGAACGCTTCCCGTCTGTTCTCAATGAGCACGACTGACTGAAACAGAGGGGCTAAATCAACCTCGGTGAACAGCTGAGAAGGAAATGCACAGACTAGGCAGGCGCCGTGCTGCCCTCCACAGACTCAAGTCAGACACTCGCTCTGTGTCTGCTGGACTGGAATGTACCGTGAGCTCCAAACGAAGCTCTGTGTTTCTCATTTTAACCTCGGTCATTTTAAGGCAGGAAATACAGCCAGGTGGGGGTGTCATACTCATTTTTGGCAAGGGAACAAATAAACGCAAGAATCTACAGTAGAAGGCCTTGAGCCACATGCTGAGCTGCCCCAGGGCTCCACATCCTCCCCACACTCATCACAGAGCGGCTCAGACCCTGCACACTCAGGCCCTGAAGGTGTCTCAAGAGGGAGTTAAAAGTCCTGTCCTGGCCCCTGAGGACCCCTCAGGAGCAAGGACTCCATCCCTACTCCCACCTGAGTGGGTGAAGGCAGGGGAAGCCCACCCAGCTTGCATCAGCAGTGGATGGACGGAGCCCAGCACCCCTGCCAGCGTTCAGCCCACAGGCCCAGGGACGGGTCTGCCAACGCGTGTGAGCCATCTACAGACAGCAGCCACCAGCCTGGCGACCCACACCCCACAGCCAGGCCCCCAGCGCACTTCAGACCCCAGGTACGGGGTGAGCAGACGCGGCCCAGGGCCTGGGTGGGGAGGCTTTGAGTAGTTACTGCTCCACCGAGCAATGGCCACCTGGGGGGAGACGAGGACCAGTGCAGCCTTCACAAGACTGCCCAGTGACGCCAGCCTGAGGGCCCCAGCACCAGAGCACCCGCAGCTGTGCCGGCACCTGCAGCCCCAACACAGCCAGGCCATGCACAGGCCACTCACTAGCCATGACGGCCCCAGCTCCATGAGCACCACCGCATGGAGTGGGGCCAGGCAGGGGATTAAAACACAAGGCAAGTCCTTAATTCTCAGAAAGAGGAAAATGATAAAATGCCCCTCTTAATTTTCTTAAGCATTCAGTGAGTGCACATATGACGCAAGTACACACAGGTTCCGCGTGTCACCCGTGAAAATGTGACAGCGCCCAGGAAGACGTGGGCAGCACGGACAAACCCAGACCAACCAAGACACCACCCAGAGAGAGGCCTGGTGGGGGCGCGATGGCCGCAGGGCCTGACAGGCAGTTCGGGGGCTACAGCAGTGCAGGGTCACCCCAGAGGCCAGACCAGGCCACAGACACGGCCCGGGAGGCTCTGCGGCCACTGCCTGGAGTCCCCAGAACCTCAGGGGAGCTTCGAGGTGGCCTGTGCTGCCCAGACCCTCCCAGCCTCCACCTGGGCCACCAGAAAATAATCTAAGACAGCTATGGTTCTGAGATCTCTCCATCTCAGCCCTGCCAACTCCCGCCCTGTGAGGCTCTTCTGGCCAGCTGGGACATGTCCATCATGACGCGCACCCTCGGCACCCCTGCAAGGACCTCAGCCCAGAACATTCTGAAGCCCAGGCCAGCCTTGAGGTGGGAGCCAACGTGGGGAACCCAGGGCCTGAGGTCTGCAGAGATGGGTGCCTGGTCCATGAGGCATTTGCAAACTGCAAGCACTGACATCGGGCCCAAGTCTCTAAATTGTGTATACAGCAGGGGGCAACTTTCAGCAACTTTTTCAGCACGAGATGTTTTTTTAATGCTGAAAGTAAAGCTGGTGATTATGCAAACTACATTAAAAGAGGCGGCGGCTGCCAGGGAAGGGCCACTGTCCCCTCAACACAGGAGCTGCACAAACTCCCACAGCGGCCAGGGTCTGCCCGCCCTCAAGGGGCCTTCCCAGTGACTTCCTAGGAGGCCAAAGACTGAACACAGAAACGTCCCTCTCTGCTCCCAAAGGAGATGGCACAAAGGAGATGGCGCAAAGGTGTCCCACAGCCCAGTCAAGCGTGGTCCCTGGAAGCCTGCCTGTCACCAGGTATATCCACAGCACACCTGTAACTGCCCTGGGAGGTCCCCAAAGGGTCTTCTGAGAGACTGCAGGCCACGGCAGCTGGGACACCGCCCCTACCCACAGGGAAGAGACGCCCCGGGGCCCACCTGGGGAGGCGGAGGCCTGCAGGTCTGACTGATGGGCCATAGTCTCCTCTAGCCTCAGGTTCCCAGCCCCTAACCCATATGGACACCACAAATCCTCCAGGCCACAGGTACAAGAACACCAGGCCCTGATCGGTGGCTGCCGAGACGCCTGAGGGCAGGGAGCCATGGGAACACATCCCCACAGCCCAGGATACAAGCCCGCCCCTGCCCACCCCTGCCACCAGCACCCAAGCTGTCGCCTCGGCTTCTCTGGCTCATAGGAAGCTTGGCTGTATGAAGCAGGTGGGCTGAGCCTGCACCCCGAAGACCTGAGCCCTGAGGGCCCCACGCAGTGGCAAAGGCTCCAGCATCCATGCTGCCCCAGAGGTGAGAGAGCCCATTATCTTCTGTTTTCAGTTTCACTTTTACCGTCGTTAAAAGGAGAGCATTTTTGGTGCATTTTTCAACCTCTCAATAAAAACACACACAGAAGAGGAGTCCAACAGCACTCTGCTCTTGCTGGGACCCGCTCCGTGATAACACAGCCGGGACGGTCAGAGACAGACCCAAAGCCCAGGCCAGACGCCTGCACAAGACTTGCTGGGACCTGCTCCACGACAGTGCAGCTGGGGACAGTCAGTGATAGACCCAAGGCCCATCTCGCCGGGACCCGCTCCGTGACGATGCAGCCGGGATGGTCAGAGACAGACCCGGGCCAGATGCCTGCACAAGATTCCAGGCGTCCAGGGATGCCCCATCCAACGAGCAGGACTTCTCAGTTGGCCGCAGGGACACTCAGTGTGGCAGCCAGCAAGAGATAAACAGCAGCACTGCTCAAGAATCCACTGGGGATTATGGGGAGAAAACAGAGCAAGGGGAAGTAAGGGGAGAAGAAAATCAGGTAGAAAACCCAGAAATAGAGAAGATGCTAGCAAGTGAGTGAGCACGCACTGTCCATGCCACATCCTCAGATGGCACCGAGCCAAGTTCCTCCATACCCCACGGCACCAACATAGCACAACGCGCCCGGGCATGGCCGCGGCACGCGAACCAAAGGTCACTACGGGATGGCTCCGCACGCTCAGGACAGCCTCAGAATGCTGTCCGCTGGGTCGTCGGCTGCAGTAGGCTCCCAGCCGGTGCCGGGCTCTCCTCTGCGTCCTGTGTGACTATCCAGAGGGAAGGCTGAGGCGCCGCGACATCCCACCAGCTCCAGGCGTGCACCGGGCGCCAGCACCATTCCCACTGCCGGGCTGACTTACAGAGGGGGCGGGCTGGGGTGGGGGAGAGCTCCTCCAGGGCTGCTGTTTGTGTTTGTGTTTAGAGGATGTTTGAGCTGATGATTCCAATGGGATCCGCAAGAATTAAGTGAAAGGCAAGATGCAGTGATCTTTGTGTGTTCCAAAACGGCCGCTTAGCAGAACTCCAGTCCAAGTTGAGGTAAGAGAAAATGATTAGGGTCCAAAGAGTGAACTACCCAGCACATTAGTGGTTAAAGTGAGAACCTGGAAAACAGTGAAAAAGCCATTTAGTCCGAATGAAGGGCAGGACAGCTCAGCCTCCTCCCTGAACCGCCGAGGGACACCGAAGACACCTCGCGCTCTCACGCCCCACCACGTGCACACGGAGACTCTCGCGGCAGGGGTCTCCGAAGGGCGGCCAGTGGACAAAGACACCCCCCGCGGTCTCACACCCCAGCATGTGCACATGGAGACTCGCGGCAGGGGTCTCCGAAATGGTGGCGCGTGGAACACCGCTTCAGGTGACGGTTCACTGCTGGCGAGCGCGCAGCCGCGAGGGAAGGAAGCCACGAGCCAGGGCCAGCCTCTGGGGCTGGGCCAACGCGGAAGCACAAGGCCGCTGCACCGCACTCAGGCGGGAGGCCCACAGTGAGTGCTTCGCCTCGGGACCAGCAACCCTGTTCAGCCTGACTCAGAATCGTGCGCGTGCTGGTAAATGCCAGAGCACTCCTTAAAGTTCAGAGCACACAGATGAATGTTTGGAAAACATCAGAAGGTTCCGAATAATCCCTGTCCTAAGACTGAGAAGAACTGCAGCTCGGAGCAAGAAATTCCCCATGTGCAGAGCACCAGAAGGTTCCGGTGAACCCAAAGCGAGGGCGGATGGTGGGGCTGGCACCATTCAGAGCACGCCCAGCCCTCCCCCGGGCACCTTGGCCGCAGCAGTGGAATGCTCCTGCTCGCGAGGGCCTGGTCTTAATGCTGCTGAGGCTCCCCGCTGCTCAGGAGAGAGCTCGGGAACTCGCCGCGCCTCCACGGAAATCCACTGTCACTCGGGAATGAGAGAGCAGAAATCTCCACTTCAGTCAGGATCAAAGGGCACCACAATTCTCAGAAGCCACCATGGGCCACGCTCACTGAAGGTCTGTGGTGAGACTCTGCTCTACAGCACTGTCACCACGGGAATCCCGCACAACACTCCACTCCGGTGCAGGGCAGTGGCCTGCAGGGGACACGTGCGCTTCTACAAGGGACATCTGATGCGCGAGCCTGAGCGGTTGCTGAGGACGTGGCCGCCAGCCGGCAAAACCCTGTCCCCGGGGGAAGCCACAGCCGGGGCCGGGCCCGGTCGCTGGCGCCCCCTGGTGGAAGCCACCACATGAGCTTCCTGCCGAGTGCGGAGGGGAGGCCGCCCCAAGCCCCGCCCCGCGGCCAGCAGGGCCTCCACGCACAGAGCCGCACACCTCCGCCACCGACAGACGTGAAACCCCCAGGAAGCGGAGCGCCTGCCGAACTCCAAGTTCTGCGTGCGGAGGGGACGCCCACACCTGCACCGAACCAACCCCTAGTACCCAGCGCACAGCACCCTGACCCGATGCATCATCGCAGGACTTCCAGGGCGCTTGGAAAACCAGGTCAGAGAGTCACCAAAGGTGGCTGAGAAAGGCCAACGTGGTTAAGAGACATCCCCAAGTCCTGAGTCAAGGGCCACCTATCCTTATTGGTATCTTGTGAAGGATTTCAATAGCCTCATATTACTTAGAAATCAAAAAAGCTTTTTCAAATTATTTTAAAATGCCAATTTAGTATCAATCCATCAAAGTAAAAGCACACGGGCAGAAAATTTCTACACAATTCATTTATGTGCAAAATTTTCATACAAATCAAAATGACATTTACCAGAAATTACTTTGGCAACAAGAGGCATGACCTGATCGCTGGCAAGGGTGGGAGGTGCCCTTCCTTCCACACAAAGACCTAAAGACAGCACCTGGTCTCGCTCCCCTCCCCGACGCTTCAGGCCAGAGACCAGCAGAAGGAGCAGGGTCAAGATGTGAAGAGTGGCCTGGGCGGGTCTGGCCCACCACAGCCTTCCGTCTGCGACCGGCCCGGCGGGGCTCCACGACACCTGTGGCGACACCTCACTCGCCGCCCCTCTGGGAAATAAGCAACACCACCCAGCCCCACTTTCTCTCGCTGCCGAAGTGCACGAGGAACCACCGCACACCAGCACAGCCAGAAGAAAACACGCTTCCCCTTATCTAGGTATAACAGGCAGGCAGGACAGCCGGGAACCAAGCCTTGACTTGGGACAAAAACCAGAATGACAAACATGCTCCAAGTACGCTTCCAGAAAGGAGACACTGGCAGCCTGACCTGGCACCTCCAGAAGCGCAGCCGGGACTGAACAAGCAAACCGAAGACAGGGGCTCCTCTTAAAAGGACACAAACTCCTCGACTTCCTCTGAGGGGCGGGGAGCAGAGGCTGCAGGAACACAGCTGCCCTCCTCAAATGCTCTCGGCACACACGCACACACACAGGAACACCCTCGCCGAGTGATTCAACAGAGTTCAGTTACGAAAGCGCAGGAAGAGATGAGAAGCACTTTCCGGTGCTATTTCGGCAGGTCCTAATACCTCATCACATATGTGGCTAACAGGGCCACATAAAACAGTGAGGAAACGTTGCTGAAATCAACTGCAAAGTACCGCATTTACCATGAGGGCAGGTCCTCTGAGAGGCCCAGGAAGGGCCAGGCTCAACCCCGGTGTCCTAGGTCTGTGGGGCTGCAGGAGACCTGACTGAGGGGTGCAGAGTGGAGCTCCCACCAAGTGCTGGGAGCGGCCAGTCACCAGTTTACCCAGATGTGCACAGCAAAGTCAAGATGACCAATTAAAACTACACTTGAATTCATTCTCAGTACTTTTTTAAAGATCAGAAGGGGCCAGGTGCAGTGGCTCAGACATCTAATCCCAACACTTTGGGAGTCGGAGGCCAGGAGTTCAAGACTAGCCAGGAGAACACAGTTAGACCCCATCTCTACCAAAAATTTTCAAATTAGCTGGGAGTGGTGGTGTGCACCTGTAGTCCCAGCTACACAGGAGGCTGAGGCAGGAGAATCACTCAAGCCCAGGAGTTGGAGGCTGCAGTGAGCCACTCACTCTAGCCTGGGTGACAGGGCAAGACTCTGTCTCTCTTAAAAAAAAAAAAAAAAAAAATCAGAGGAAGTATGTGCAGAAGACAGGACCAAGGACCACTGACCCCTGGCCCAGGGCAGCCCGGCAAGGCTGCACAATCTCTCGTGGCAAACAGACCCCCCCATGAGGGCGCCGACCTCAGAACCACAATTCAAGGCTTTTGAAAGAAAAAACTGCACTGCTGTCTTCCCTGGAAATTCAGAGAATGCTGCAAAAACAAGCTCGGCACCCCCCCGCATCGCACCAAGGATCCTGAAGGACGCTCCCGGCACCGGTCGGCAAGGGCGCCTCTCAGGGCCGCCCGCGGCATTTACCTGCATCCAGGCGCTTTCCTGGGGACTCCTCCTCCACCTCGGAGTCTCCGCATGTGCTCCGCGACCTTTTCCTTGGCTGCAGAAGAGTCTCCAACCTCGGAAGGACTACAGACAAAAAGGTTTTGGTCCCTAGCTGAGGAGAAGTTGGCTGGGTTTCAGTGTTCTTGGCAGACTTTGGGGGGCTTACACTTTTCGATTTGCAGAAGAGAACAGAAGTGCGTCTGTTTACATCGCTTGCTGGCTCCGCCACCGCGGAGGCCGCCGCCGCCGGCACATCGCCACTACTGGCGCGGGTGGGCTCTGGAGGGCGTCCGCTTACCAGTGCGCTCTGAGTGCAAGCGCTATGTGATTCATTATCAAATGTGACTCTTTTGAAAAGTTTACTCTGCTCTGGGTTGAGTTCTACTGGTTTGAGGGTTGGTGGTTCTGAATTAGTCTCCGAGTTTGAAGGAAGAGGTAATGCATCTGATGGTTCAAGTTTAGGGGGAGAGTTATCTCCTGAAAAAATTATAAATAAAGTGATTTTTGAAAACTGAAGATTATAAAATCTATTATAAAACTTACTATAAATGTGAAGCCCACCAAAATACTAATTCAGTTAAGGAAACAACGCATCGCACGTACTGTCTGCTCGGCAGTGCGGCCCCGTGGGCTCGGGCCACACTGTGTGGGCTTCCCTAACGCCAAAGGCTGTGGCCCTGGGTGCAGTGCCCAGGCACACAGTTACTCTCTGAAAAAAACTGTGAAAGATTATTTCACACGCACCAATATTAAACACATCACTCAAGTTCATAACAATTTCTGCAATCAACAATTCACTTACCTTGAGGAAGAAAAGGTATCTCACATAACTAAAGGAGCCTTAAGTGGGCATTCCCAGAGCTCTACTGGGCCACGAGGTTCGCAAATAAAAGGAAAGAAACATTAAATCTGATCTCTGCTCAAGGTCTTCCAAGTCAAAAATGCAAAAAAAGCAAACAAACAAAAAAAGAAAAAAACGGAGTGGTGACTGGCTGTGGATGACTCTCAAGAAAAGCAGGAAAAAAAGCCCCGCTCACCCCAGCACAGAAGTCTGTGCCACGTTCCCAAATACTGTGATGGGAGCTTTCAGGGAAAAAAAAAAAAAAAAAGTTTTTTAAATAAAAAGTCTTTGGAAAAAGACTAACCTCTTTGTAAAGCCTTTTTGACATTATAAAAACCAGAAGTGTGAAATGGTACAGAGCCCGCGGTCAGGGGGACGGGCTCTGTGCACTGCCCTGAGTCCAGGAGGCTGGACGGGCTCTGGCACAAGGCTGACGGGGCGAGGCGATGCCACACCAGGCCAACCACTGAGGCTTCTTCCCAAGCAGGACCGGTGCTGGCAACAGGAAGTGTGACTACTTTAATCCTTAGTATATATTGTCACTGGGTACAGCTTTCATTTCATTAAACCTGTAAACTTTTCTAAAACCGTCTGAAGTATGTATGGTTACTATTGTAATTCAAAAAGTCGTTTTGAAAATCCAAAACTACACAACAAGGCTCAGAGCAATGTTTTGAGACTGACAGAAAAAGTTCTCCCCAAGGCTGGGCCCCATGACGCCGGGCAGCAGTGCTTTTGGCTGCAAGGTGCCTCTGATTTCAAATGACACTGAGCGCCTTAGAGCGCCTCACAGCCGATTCAAATACAAGGGGGAAAGCCTCACCTCAACAAAAAGTCACCATGCCAACCGCTGGGAGCACAGCTGTCACGTGGGAACGCTGTATCCCAAGGCAGGGGCACACGCGAGGTGACAAAACTCCTTCTCCTCCTGTTCAACGTCGCCAACAGGCTTAAGGAAAAGGTGTTTGTGAGACACCTGGGAACGCTGGCCGGAGGGAACTGGGCAATGCGGAGAAACAAGGCTGCTCATGAGCATCTACGGCTCCAGTGTCCCTGGGCCTGTGCAGCAGCCGGAGGGGCTCAAGCACTGAGTCTGCAGCGTCCTGATGCAGCCAGTGTCTGGGGCACAAGGCCTGGGGCCTCACTTCACTTCCTGCCTCCTCTTCCACCTCCTGGCTCCCCTCGAGCTCTCGTCCTGATCTTGATACTCAACTGCTCACTGCAATCCCAACGGCCTCTGCAGGGCCAAAGCCAGTGGTCAACCCCAGTCTTGGCCTCTGTGAGCACAAGAGCACCAGGCCAGCAGAGATGGAGCCTGAAGGAGCCTCCTCCCAGCACCTCCAAGAGATCCCCTTACCCCTGCTTTTCCACAGCTATCTAACAGGCACTGTAAACCCCCATCTCCTGCTTCTGGCGCAACCCTCAGAACCACCACTCCTGTCTGGCAGCAGCCCTGAGATGTGCAGACATCCCTGCCTTGCAGAGGGCCCTCCCCCACCATGGGCCACACCCCCTCCTCCACACCTCCAGCTCTCGGCCCAGCAAGGACGCCCCATGTGGGACTCATAACCATCTCCACGCTGCAGGGACTTCCCCAACCCCTGGTCTATCCCAAAGTGGGCCCCCGTGGCCCTGCCTCAGCCATGCACGCCCCCCACATGCACCCCACACACCCCCGACCTCTCTGCGGCAGCTCCACATGCAGGTCGGGCTCCAGTCACCAGCACACAGGCTGAGGACGTGCTCCTGCAATACTGACCAGAGGCATGAAGGAGACCGTGGTCAGGAACAGAGGTTGCTGGCACCTGGGTGCACAGCCACCTGCCCAGCCGGGACCACACAGGCCCCTCCCCCAACCAGGACCAAAAAGGCCCCTGGACCGTTCAGTGCCTCAGTTCCTCATCCATAAAATCAGAAAAAACAGGACCTGAGCCTCCAGGCTCCACGACACAACAGGCAAGCCCAACCCATCCCTCTAGTGGAAATCTGACTGGAAGTTAACATACAAGAAGGAAAACTCCTCTCAAACCTCGCTGACTGCGGGCCACCTCAGGCCGTCACTTAACTGCCCATGAGAAAAGCTCAGAACACACTCGATACAACTCGGGCATAAGCCTCTCAGACCCCGTCCATGTATGAGTCAGGATCCTAGAATTCCAGTCCCTGGAACTTGTCACATATTCCAAATGGCAAAATGGTTATCTAATCTAAACCAGCTACTCTAAGAAACTAAAAGACCTAGTTAAGTCTGCAAGAACAATTCTGCAATATTTTGCCCACCTGGCCACCCACGATGTCAATCAAAGGCTTCTGTATCGAAGCCACAGATGCTTTGGAAAATCACAGCGTAACACAGGCAGACATTTTAGCTCACGAGCGGCAACCACACTGTCCCTCCAACAACCCTGCCTCGAGCCTCCGTCCTCTGCAATTCTGAAGGGATAAAGCTGCATACGCTGCACCTTCTACCCTGAGGAACACGCATCCTTTCTTGAGGGCCACAGTGCTCCACAGGCTCAGTGCCCGTGCACGGCAGAGGACCTCCACGCGTGCACGTGAAGGGCCCACAGCTGCCCTGGACTAAAGGGGACGCCCCAGAGCCTCTGGCAAAGGCATCACTGTGACCGGAAATCCCAACGACTCGAAATGCAAGCCCCTTTCACCAGTTCACAGTGCAGACCCTGCTCCTCCTGCCTGCACTGTCCTGCCTCACCATGTCAGCAGACACCAACCTGAGCACACGGTGGAGATGAGCCTTCTGCGAGCTGCACATCTGTCCCACAGGCTCATCAGACAGGATGGAATCCCAACTGTGGCATGGCCCCCACCCAGCTGACACGCAGCCCCGGGGAAGTCAGCCCTGGCAGGGCCAGCTCACAGCAACGGCCTGAACCTCTGCACTCGGCAGACTGAGTCATGGCTACAGCAGAGCCTGCGGGAGGGCAGGTGCAAGAGAACTGACCGGGACCAACGGCGCAGCCCAGGAGGTGTCTCCTTCCTTCAGATACTAGAGTCTCAGGGGTCTGGCACCCAACGGCTACAGCTTGTTCAAGCTACTTCAAATGGAAGCAATATAAGTATGACATAGGTACTGTTAAATGACAATTTAAGTGAGACTGTATACTTGCCATTGAGGAATTACTATCTTTTCAGGTGTGAAAATATTGTGGTTGTATTTAAGAAAAATGATGGGCCGGGCGCGGTGGCTCAAGCCTGTAATCCCAGCACTTTGGGAGGCCGAGACGGGCGGATCACGAGGTCAGGAGATCGAGACCATCCTGGCTAACACAGTGAAACCCCGTCTCTACTAAAAAATACAAAAAACTAGCCGGGCGAGGTGGCAGGCGCCTGTAGTCCCAGCTACTCGGGAGGCTGAGGCAGGAGAATGGCGTAAACCCGGGAGGCGGAGCTTGCAGTGAGCTGAGATCCGGCCACTGCACTCCAGCCTGGGCGACAGAGCGAGACTCCGTCTCAAAAAAAAAAAAAAAAAAAAAAAGAAAAATGATGGAGAGGCTTTACTGATGAGAACGTTCCTGCTGGATTTTTAAATGTCTGATTCTTGGTTTTCGTCCTATTATAAGTATCATAAGTTCACATTTCTATACCAACTAACAAGCTTGCTTGTGGCTGTCTTCCCTAACACTGTGTGACGTCCCCATTCCAGTCTGGCGCTCGCCTCTCCAGAGCCCCCGTCTTCTCTAAGAGGCAGGACGACTCTGCCCGCCCCACCTCTCCAGAGACCCCCATCTTCTCTGAGGAGCAGGACCCCGCCCACCTCACCTTGGAGTGGACCTTCAGGCCGCTTGCTTCTCCACCCACTTTCCTGTCAGCTCACAGGAAATGCCCTTTTCATCCATGGAGTCACCGTGAACATCGGGTGTAACAGGTGATTCAAGGCCACCTGTGTCTCAGTCACACTGTATGTGTTTTCTTTAGAATGACCCCAGAAAAAAACTACATAAAAATAAAATGACTCCAGAGCTACAAAGCAACAAAAACGGTCTCCAAGGGCTCCTGCTAAGCGTTGGGGGGTATGAGGAGCCACGCACACCACAGGGGAGGGCCAAGCGGCTCCAACTGTACAAGGTCCTCAGCCCTGCGACCCAATAACCGTGCAGGGTCCTCAGTCCTGCGACCCAATGGCGATGGAGGAAGCCACTGATTAAAAAAAACTAAAAAGGTAACTTACTGCTCTACAGTGAAAATGCTACAACTGTGTGGGAAGAGAAGCACTGGAAGCTATTTTGAGACTGGTGAGTGGACCTGCTGGCAACCTCCTCACAACTCAGTCCTCAGGACACAGAAGACAAGGACGGAAGGGCAGTCCACCTAGCGGGAGGCCCGCACAGCCTCAGTGAGCTGCATGAAAGCAAAGGCTGCGGGACCAGGCACCAACCTGGACTCCTGGGTACAACGGGGCAGCCCAGGGCCCAGACAGCTGTGGCCGCCAGAGGGTCCTCTAGGCAAACGTTCCCCAGAAAAACCATGAGGCCCCCAAAGCAGACGAGGGATCAGGTGCTAACAGTAACAGCCTTTGAGAGAACAGAAAAGCAAGCGCTCACCTTGAAACAGAAAAGTCTTTATTCTATGGACCTAACGTAATTGACACCAGCCCCAAAAGAGACATTCTAGAGTCTGGGTGCTATACTATGGTGAACTAAACAGAAGAATCCCAAAACAGAAAAACAGGCACAGAATGAGGAAAAGGATGCGTAAGAAATTCTCAGCTGCATGCACAGGAGTAAAGTTTCTAAGAGAAAGAAAAGCTTAATGGCTCTCATTCAAGTTGCCCAATGCAAACAGGATAAAAGGGGCGAAGCTCTGCAGACAGGAGCCACACGAAGTTCGGGGGATGAAAAGGGCCCTGAGACCGTGAAGACCCGCTGACCTGTGTGGCATCATGAAGACACAGCGTCACTCAGAGCACAGACGTCCATAAGAGATGAACGTCTTTGTTTCAAAAGAAAATTGTACAACAATTCTGTCTTATTTCAATTGTTTGCTGTTCTGACTTTGATGTGCAGGGGAAGGGCAACAAGGCCACGAACCAGCTGCTGATGCTGTGGCGAGAGGGTCTGACCCTACTGTCTGCTTCGTGTAACCGGAGCGTGTCAAGGTCAAGGTCAACTCCAGAGACACCGGGCAAAACACAGCGGCAATGACTTTCCACCAGTGTCTCCAAATCCAATTTAGTTTTAAAATTCCCCTTTCACCAAGTATGGGACACACCGGCTCTACCTCCTCACCCTGCCAACCCAGATGGACACAAACCATCACTCGTCAACTCCCTCCTCACCATCCCAAGCCTACATCTGCCCTGGGTTTTGCTAGTTCTCCTTCTGGAGAGATGGATTTCTTCCATTTATTTCTTAGTCATTAAAGCATCTTTGCTGCCGGGACCTTTCCCCAGACATTCTTTGACAACGATCACGGCAGGCTGCTACCTACCGACCGCTGCAGAGGAGCTGGTCAGGGACCCTCCAGGCAGACGAGGCCTCTGCGGTACCGTCCCTCCCTTCACAGCATCAGGGAGGAGCCTTTAAGTGATAATAATCTAAAACGGCCCTTTGAAAATGCCACATTTGATGGCCTAGTGTATTATTAAATGGCTTCCCGTCAATTTACAAAACACAACAAAAACATTTCTCACTCTTATCATTCAAGCTACCTTTACTCTTCAACATAGATCTAAACCATTCTTTTCAAATAGTTTTTCAGGCCCAGGTTAAGAGAAAAATTTTATTCTGTGCCTTAAATTTTATCAACTAATTACGTGAAAAAACACAGACAGCACAAATCATAAAGTCTCTTTCGAAGGAAACCACCACCCAGTGGGAAAATCAAGTGTTCCGGGCTTTGTGAATTTTATGGAACTGGCGCTAACCCGAGCCTCCATGCACACCAACGCTGCTGCCCGTGTCTGGGTCTGTGCCTGTGCCTGAGCCCTGACGGCAAGAAAGAGGGGCAGCCCTCACCATGGCTTACCTTCCTCGCCCGCCTCCAGCCCCAGCGGAGCTCCGTCCTCATCACAGCCTTCCGAGCCTGGCCCCACGGGCGGGGGCTGGCTGTGCTGCTGGCTCAGCTTGTTTCGGAGAAGGGCAATTTCCTTTTTGAGCAGCTTTGCCCGCTTGCTCCGGGAGCCACTGGACTTCATAGCGCAGGTGAGGTCGAGCATGTCCAGCAACTCTCTCAGCTGCTCCTCCAGGCCCAGGTGGGCTCTGTTGGCGGGGTCCAGCAACCTGTCCACTGAACCAAAGGACACACGCTGTCAGTCATCAGGTCCCACGCACCTTCTGGGAACACATCACCGGTCCCATCTTTCAAATCACCTTCGGCCAAGGCCCTGAGAATGGCTGTTAGCAACGAGGCCCAGGCCCTGCTCACCAGAGGCCCCAAGCGGCCCCTCCCCTGCGCTCTGAATCCACCATGGGGCTGCTGCTACAGGAACACCCTGGGATGCTCCTGATGGAGAATTTCTACTCCCATGACAGTCACCGCAGAAGGGGCAGCGTTCAGGTAACATCGCAACCTCTCCTGGACCAGGACCCTCTGAGGCTCCCTGTGCAGAGAGCCCGGCTGGCTGGGTGAGGGCACAGCACACAGACCCCAGAGAGAGCCCGGCTGGCTGGGTGAGGGCACAGCACGCAGACCCCAGAGAGAGGCGCACGCTCCACCAACCCAGCACAACTCAGATGGACCTGCACTGGCTCTGCAAACAGAGGTGACGACTGGCAAATGTGTTAAGTTAGGGCCACGGCATGTCCTGAGCGGTGTCTCAGCTGAAGGATTCAGATGCTGATCACTATGTGGCTTTATTAAACGGGCTGTAAAATTCACAGATCATTCTGAATTTCAGGCGTATTTACTACAAAGTCCCTAAAAACTTCACTTTCAAAAACACCAAAATGTATAAAGCACAAATTACCTTAAGTAAGAGGTGGCCAAGAAAAGAAAGTGCTCCCCAGAGCTGTCTGAAGATAAAAGCAGAGCGAGGAGAGAGGACAGAAAACAAAGTAAGGCTGCCCAGAACACGTGGATTCTCTTCATCTAAACACAGGTGTTTACTGAAAGCATCTGTCTTTTTGACTGAATGAGTAAAGCAGTAGCACAAACAAAATGCTTAAATCATTACTCCTTCAAGACTTGTATCCATAACATCACTTTGAACAGATGTCATAGATAATACTCAAAAATGTTCATACAAAAAAACACATCCTTTGAAACCCCAAGAAGAAAGCCTCGAAACCTCCGTTTCTTTTAAAACAAGAGACCCACGGCCTCCAGGTCTGTGGCTCGGGCTCCAGGCAGTGGGAGGTGTCGGCTGTGCTGAGAAGGGCACACCGTGGCCACTGGCTCACCTGTGCACTCTGAAATACTGAGAAAGAAGGAAACTAGGACTTCTCATCCTTCATTTTCTCCTTAGCAAAAAAAACCCGAGTGTAGAAATTCACTTAACAACTTGCATGACCATGATCTGAAAGACACTGACACTCAGAGACCTCCACACCGCTCCATTCAAGGGAGGTGGCGTGGTGCTGGGAGCACGATGTGGGGGAGCACAGGAGCAGGGCCCTAGGGGCAAAGGACGCTCCAGGCTGCTCAGAAGACAGGGAGTCCAAGAGTGATGCGTCTTCCTGCTTTTAAGGGCAGGCAACCAGCATGCATCCTGAATGGCCGGCACCGGGCACCAGGTGGGCGTCTGACAGCTGATGGCAGGCCAGGCATCCAAGCTAGAGTGTGAAGGCTGTGGGGGGCAGGGGGAAGCTTTCCCATGGTCACCAGAGGCTAGAGAAGGGCCTTCCAGGACAAGCATGAGCCCTGGGCTCACTCTGAGGCGGCTCAGCCCCAGCTCCTCTCAGATCCTGAAGGGAACGTTTCGGAAAACGATAGCTGGTCTGATCAGCCTGGAGAGTGCAGCTTCAGGGAGGGGTTAAAGCTCCACCAGGGTTCACCAAGAGTCAGCAGCATTGTTTGGAGCTTGTGTTTATTTTCTAAATTTCTCCAAGAAAAACGTGTTACTCTTAAAATCAGAGACAAAGCATAAAAATATAATCCCATTCTGTTTTTTCTTCAAGACGGAGTCTCGCTCTGTCACCCAGGCTGGAGTGCAATGGCACAATCTAGGCTCACTGAAAGTTCCACCTCCTAGGTTCACACCATTCTCCCGCCTTAGCCTCCTGAGTGGCTGGGACTATAGGCGCCCGCCACGCCGCCTGGCTAATTTTGTTTTTGTATTTTTAGTAGAGACGGGGTTTCGCCGTGTTAGCCAGGATGGTCTCAATCTCCTGACTTCATGATCCACCCGCCTCAGTCTCCTTTTCTTTTTTTTTTTTTTTTGGAGACAGGGTCTCACTCCATCACCCAGGCTGGAGTGCAATGGCACAATCTCCGCTCACTGCAGCCTCCGCCTTCCACGTTCAAGTGATTCTCCTGCCTCAGCCTCCGAAGTAGCTGGGATTACAGGCACGCGCCACCACGCCCGGCTAATTTTTTGTATTGGTAGTGGAAATGGGGTTTCTCCATGTTGGCCAGGCTAGTCTCGATCTCCCAACCTCAAGTGAATCCACCTGTCGGCCTCCCAAAGTGCTGGGATTACAGGCATGAGCCACAGAGCCTGGCCCTATTCCCATGCTTTAAAAGAGTACAGCCCATCCTCCAACGCTCACAGGTGTCAAGTGCTGCGGGACCCCACGGGAAGCAGGGAGCCAGCACTGTTGCCATGAGGGGAACGGACAGTGAAACAACGATGGCCCAGCTTGGCTGAACCCCACGATGGCAGGAACATGGAGGAGAGAAAGAGGGCCAGGCCTCATCCCAGAAGCAGCAACCTGGCACGGGTCAGTGATTCATCAGGAGAAAGGGTAGGCCAAGAAATCAGGGATATGGGACCTTTTGATAAATGAGCCAAACACACCATGATTTCTGCTCAGTTTGTGGCTCAGAGCTGGAGCTGAGGTGCAGGAGCTCTAGGTGCTCTGACAACCCAAGTGGGCAGGACACACCCTTCGGCAGACAATCCCGGAGGTGCAATCAACAAGCAGGGTGCAGGGGACACCCGTGGTTTCCGAGGACCGGTCTAGAGAAGGGTGCAGGTGACTGCACACGGCTGCAGCACGTGCCTGGGCAACCGAGAAGCGCAGGCCCTGGCTGGAGGTCCAGGTGGGCCGTGAACATGCTCCTAGAGCCCTTTCTACAACATGCGCAAACCACGAAGTTAAAGGGCCGGAGGCAAAGCCAGAGTTCCTCCGGCTTCACGCCACCCTCGGAAGTTATCCACTCCTAGAGGCCCACTCTGGATGCAAACCCCCAACTAAGCTGCTTTCTGGGTCTGCATCATCGAGACCGGCCACCCCGTAGGGAGCCACAGCCACATGGGTCCTCCTGGCGGGCACCCAAAACACAGCCAGTCTGAAGTGACAGGTGCTGAGTGTAAAATACACATCAGATGGCAAAGAAAGCTTATATATCCTCAGTAACGTTTACACTGATCCCATGTTGAAATCAACTCTTCCATATACTGAGTAAAATAAGATACATTATTCAAATAAATTCCACCTGCTTTTTTTCCATTTTCCAGTGAGGCTACTAGAAAATGTAAATGATGTATGCGGTTGCGTGCAAGTCCTCCCGGACCGTGCTGATATGGAGCTGGCAACACAGAGCAGGACAGAGTCTGCTAGAAAGAGCGTCTTCCAGCTCCTCCGGACACAGCGCCAGTTCTTACCGTCTTCCCAGGAGAAAGGCCGCCGCGGCGCCGCAGCAGGCCGCTCAGCCAGGTGCATCCCCGAGGCCTCCTCCAAGCCGATGCTGTCCACCTCGCGCCGGGCCTGCCTCAGAACAACACCTCCCTGATCACGCAGCCTCACCGCGGCTCTATAGAACACGGTGTCCCTGGCATTGTACTTCATGCAGTTATCTATAATGAGATCAAAATCCTCCTCAAACTCATGGAGGTTTTTATACCCTTGAGCTTCTAACCGTTTCCTCATCGTGGCAAAGTCCATGGGCTGTTTAATGTGATCCAAATAATCTGGTACCTAATTTTAGGAAGGAAAAAGAATCATTTACAAACTAAAACAGGATATTAGTTTACTCTGTATTTATTATTCCATAGAACCCACAAGCCCATCCTATCTGAGAGCCACGCACACACACACACGGTACAGACACAAGACCCAAGTACTGCAGGGCCCTTCCCGACCCCAGCTCCTTCAGCTAAAGCGCACTGGAGGGTGCCGGGTGCATGCCGCCACAGCTCAGGGTACTGCCTGCACAGGGCCTCTCACCCACTGCACTTTCAATATTTGACAGTGAAATGCATCACTTTTATCATTTAAGAACAAATATGTTAAATAAAAACGAGAATTAAGAACACAAGGGACGTACTCTAGCCAGTCACACGTTTCCCAGTCAAACGGCAGCACAAATCCACAGTCACACGTGCGGCAGGACAGACGAGCGCCGCAAACACCCACCTCCTTCAGACTCACGGGCTGCGCAAATATCCTGGCGGGGTCCTTGTCCTGCAGCTGGTCCAGCACTGAACGCAGCAGCACCGTCAGCGGGGTCAGCCGCAGCTCCATGGCAACCTGCTCCACCTTCACCTGGGGGGGCCCAGCAGAGCCTCAGCTTTAGGGAGCCCCACACGCACCCCACAGCCACACGTACCCCACACGCACCCCTACAGGCTCCTGGGCTTCTGTCAAGGCAGGGGTCAGTGCAGCCTCCACTTAGGGCCCTGCGACCCATGGCAGCCAGGCACCCGGCCTGGGCTGAGCAAGGCACTGCCGTGGGCCAGGACCCACAGGGTGCAGCCCACCCTCTGCAGGAGCTGCCAGCATCCCACCCACACCCCATGGCCAGAAGTGCACTCCATGCGGGACAGACCCACCCACACCCCATGGCCAGAAGTGCACTCCATGCGGGACAGACCCACCCACACCCCATGGCCAGAAGTGCACTCCATGCGGGACAGACCCACCCACACCCCATGGCCAGTGGTGCACTCCATGTGGGACGGACCCACCCACACCCCATGGCCAGAGGTGCACTCCATGTGGGACAGACCCACCCACACCCCATGGCCAGAGGTGCACTCCATGCGGGACAGACCCACCCACACCCCATGGCCAGTGGTGCACTCCATGTGGGACGGACCCACCCACACCCCATGGCCAGTGGTGCACTCCATGCGGGACAGACCCACCCACACCCCATGGCCAGTGGTGCACTCCATGCAGGAGGGTCCTACCCACACCCCATGGCCAGTGGTGCACTCCGTGCGGGACGGACCCACCCACACCCCATGGCCAGTGGTGCACTCCATGCGGGACAGACCCACCCACACCCCATGGCCAGTGGTGCACTCCATGACCCACCCACACCCCATGGCCAGTGGTGCACTCCATGTGGGACGGACCCACCCACACCCATGGCCAGTGGTGCACTCCATGCGGGATGGGCCCAGCCCCACCTGCTCACGCTTGAGCTTCTCCCGCTTGCGCAGCAGCTCGATCAGCAGGCGGGCGCGCTCCAGGTCGTGCCGCAGCCGCTGCCAGTACTTCAGCTTCTCTTTGGCAGCCTTCATCTCCTCATCGTTTTCTCTCTGAGAACAGCGAACACTTCCATCAGTCAAACCCAGAGGCTCCTCCTGCAAAAGGCCTCAGATACTGCGTAGGTAAGACCCCAGGAGGTGTCCACGGCAGGGGTCCTGCAGGCCCATCCTGGGGAGGACAACAGACCCACCCTCACTAGAGAGCCCCGGACAGCACCGGGACAGAGGGGACAGAGGAGATGGAGGGGATGGAGGAGACAGAGGGGACCACCAGGCCAAGGTGAGCAGGGCGGTGGCTCCGGGGCACAGATGCCACCCTCCAGAGAGAACAGAGGTCTCCACAAGCTGGCGGGGAGCGGCCTTCACAGAACCAGAAAGGCCCACAGAGGTGGGACCAGGACAGAATGGGGGGCCCACGAGGACCCACCTCAAGGACAGCTGGGAATGGAGGGAGCAGCTTTGAAAAGAAACCAGGTGCATAGAAAACAACATGCTGGGCCCATCCTGGCTTGGACGGAGCGTGACGGGGGCCTGGCACACAGCCGACCTGCCGTCCTGCCCTGCACAGCGCCTCCATCCCGACGCACATTTCCCCGCAGCCAGGGTCTCGTCTCCATCGACAGCACCTGCTCCCTTCTCAGTGGGCAGAAGGGTATGCCAGACAGCACAGGCCGCCAGCCTCACCCCAGCCCACATCCACACCAGGATGATCAGAAGAAAATCAGAGCCCTGCAAAGGCCACGACACAGACGGTCGCAGGAGAGGAGGCCACCTGGGTCTGCCCTCAGCCCCGTCCTCACCATGTCCCCCAGGCCTGGCCATATGAGGCCTGCTCATCACAGTGCCAGGGGCACCCTGACCCTACCTCAAAGGGGAGAGGAAGTCACCGAGTGAGTGGGCCTGAGCGGGCCCCCGATGCCTGTCATCCTCCACAGCTGCAGGACACGCACGCCCTGCCAGCCTCAGGCCAGCTGTGGCCATCGGTTTCTGGCACATGCTCCACAGCTCTGAGACCCTCCTCTCCCCCCGTGCCTCTGTCCCCAGATTCCCACCCGCCCACCTCAGGGTGCCGTCACAGCTTTTTGAAGGACTGACGGTGTGAAGGCAAAGACTGCTGGACTACAAGATGCAAGGACCCCGGACTCCAAACTGCTCAGAAAAGGAGGCTCAAGGAGGGAGACCGAGTCCCGCACCCCCAAATCCCCTGAGGCCAGGCCTCTCCAGGGCGAGGCGGGGCACTGAGGTGCCAGTGTCCCCTGCAGTGAGGATCTCTGGGTTTTCCTCAATGCTGCTGAACACCCTCAGGCAGGAAATCGGGGCTAACAGTAACAAGGTCCACATCAACTCAAGCAAAGACAGGAAAACATGGGCTCCAAACACCAAGCTCCCCAGAGCATCTGAATACTGCCTGTCCCCCAGCTTGCAATCGACACTTCTGAAAACCGTGGCCAAAAGGACGTTTGGCATGGGAATCTGTTACGAAGCGGAAGAAATCTCATCACTGAAAGTCCTTTATCACACGCTGGCTGCTGAACAAACTTACTAGTCTGCTCCCCAACCTGGTTTAACAGAGAAACGCCACTGGCAGCGGCAAGGGCCCCATCAACGGCACCTGGGCCCTGAGGCCGACCGGCCTCCCGGCTTCGCCATGCAAGGTCCCATGACACACACAGCCTCATCCACTCAGAAGGACCAAGGTTCCTTACTCAGCTCTGAAGTGGCTGATATTTCCCATGTAAAAATCAACACTGGGAGGCTCCACAAGAAAGGACAGAAGTGAAGGAGAAGCACTCAGGTGTCCCCACTGCCGGGAAGAAGCACTGAGAGCCTCCGCGTCCATTCCAGACACACGGGGGAGACGCAGGGCTGGGGAATGGTCAGGTTAAAATCGCCTCTGCTGGGAGGCACAGACCAGCTCCTGGAGTGAGGCCCAGTGTCACAGAGTGGCCGGTCTCAGCCTCACCGGCCCCAGGCCTCCTGGCAACAGCACCCGCTCCTGCCACTGGCCCCAATGCCGCCACCCGCTCCTGCCACTGGGACGGGCAGAGGCCACACCCGCAGCACAGCAAGGACAAGGTGGGCAGCAGCGCCCAGCATGCCCCAGAACAGACACTGGGAAAGCTGGAGGATGTGCTCCAGGACAGGAAGGATGGGCCACGGGAGCAGGAGACACAGTGCGACGCCACCAGCATACGCACAAATTGCTGCTCACCCTAAAGCTAAGCCACCGCCCTCGTTCTCCCTGCGGCCTTCAACAGCCACACACGCCAGAACAAACACCAGGGTCCTGCACGCAGCCAGCACAGACCCGCCATTGCCGCAGCATCCTCAGCGCCTGCGGGCCTCTCAGAGACCCCATCCAGCTCGTCCACCTGCCCACCCCAGGGTCCTCTCCCAGGGTCAGGCTGGGGCAGGAACACAGAGACACAGAAGAATCAAATGCATCAGGTACTTCCAAAGCTTCGAAACCATGAAACCGCACCACGCCATGGCTGTCCCTGGCCAGAAGGTAGAAAGAAGCACAGTCTCTCCCAACAGCCCATCCACACAGAGGCAGGTTTCCAGGCTCTCCATGCCAACTGCTGTGCTGTGGCTCAAGTCTGGGCAGCTCCTTCTGCCCCAGGTGTCTTCACAAAGCCGCCCCCTCTGCTGGAAGAGCTGCTCCGGCCGCACCGTGGGGATGCTCCCTCCTTACAAACGTATTCTGCACACAACAGGACGTGAGGCCTAACAGGCAGTGGTGAAGCAGAGGGGGCCCAGCTGGCAGGTTCCAGCTGGTCACCTCTTCTTTGCAACCCTCCCCCTGCCCTTGCCTGGCTCTACCACACCCCAGGCCACCCCCAGCCGCCTGGGTCCCCGTGGCCCCTGCCCACTGGCCCACGTGTCCTGCTACAGCAGGGATCCTGGCCCTCGTGTCCCAGGTCCTGAGAGTAGAAATGAAGAGTCCCACCGCTGGACGTCCCCTGTCTGGCCACATCCACGCCCACTTCCCATGGAATCCGCCCTTCACAGCTCCTCTGAGGCTTATCTGGAGTCCTGTCCAGCCCCAAGATGAGACCCAAGATGTGAATCCTCAGCTTCCTCCCAGCCAAGCCTCTCTTCCATCCCTCAACATTGCGGGGCCAAGACCGATGCCTCCAGTCTCCAGAGCTTCCTGCCGCTTAGCCACTTCCTGACTCTGCCTCTTCAGAGCACCCCCAAACCGCGCTCTCCTTCTGGGAGCCCTGGAGGCTACGAGGTGAGGACGAGGAGAGATGGAAAGCAAAGTCACATCACGGAACGGAAGATGCAGTTAACTCATTCAACAGCCAAAAAACATTCACTGAAGCCTCAACTCTGTGGCCATGTGAGGATCCCACTTGGAGAGGGACTGGCTCACAGACTGTCCGGGGAGCCCCAAGTTCCCTGGACAGACACACAGGGGGGCAACCCAGGTAGACGGCACAGGAGGCCCAGAACACTCCACAACCAGGACACACCAAGGCCATCAGAAGACCCTGGACCCCACCACCAAATCAGACCCACAAATCACCAGCTGCCAGACCAGAGCACCAGACTCTGAATTCCCTAGAGCACGAGGCAGCCACAGCAGGTGACTGAACAGGGCTCACGCTGCGGGGACAGAGTCTGCGAGGCAGAGACAGCACCAGCCACCGCACAGGAACCCAACTGTGAACCCTGCAGACTCAAGCTTCCCCTGAGCAAGTCGCCACCTCACAGCAAAGCAGGATGGTTCTGCTTCATGCCCAGGATGGCAGTGAAAAGCACCATGAGGAAATTCCAAGAGGTGCTCAGGCCACGCAACACTGGCCGCAGACAGCTCTTCCAAAAAACCAGCGGCTCCTCACTAGGCAGCGTGGGCAGAGGGTGCTGGCCGCAGGTCCTGGGCCATGTGCAGAGCCATTTGTGTTTTCAATTTACTTTTGTGCATCTCACAAAAGCTACTTCACTCTGTAAACCCATTTTTTCAGAACTGTTTCACAATATCAGATGAGTCTATAAACTCAAACCTACTACCAAAATGTAAGAGTTTGAGTTGGTTCTTTTAAAAAGGAAAAGTCCTGCTCCTTCCCTTCCACTCTCTCAGCTCTCTCAAGCCCTCCCCACCCTATCACAGTCCATGCTAAACCAGCCTTCAGAGCAAGGCCCTCGAAATAAACCACTCCTCACACATTTCCAAAACCCACACTCCAGGCCCAGCACACAGACCCCCACCCACTGGCCCGGGTGCTCACTGGGTCCCACTCCTGCTGTCCTCAGCCTGGACACTCATGCAGCCACAGCGTAACACATCCCTGAGCATCCCCAGCCCCCAGAAGTGGTCACTGTCCATCAGCATTTGTGCGGGTAGGGCGGGGCGGGGCGGGGCAGGGGAGCACAACTCACAACCGAAGAAACACCCCCCAGTGACAGGCATGGATGAGAATCACCCCCAAAGTCGCAGATCCAGGGCCCAGGGCACACCTAACTCCTCCTACAGGTCCGGGGCTGGACAAGACCGAGGCTTCCCAATGGGGAGCCTGGACCCAGGGGGCAGCACCACGTCCAGCCTGAACCAGGTGCCCTCTCCCTGGAGGGTGGGGGCCGTGAGCCACATACCTGCTGTGAGCTTCGCTGAGACTGCAGGCTGGACTGGAGCCGCCGCAGCAGGGGGGCACCATTCCTGGACAGCCGCTTGAGCAGCCAGTAGCTGTGGGCTCGCTCCACAAACTGCTTCTTCCGCTGAATGGCCACCTGATTCGCAATCCTATTTAACCTAAAACATAAACACTCAGTTCATCTTTGAAGCAGTACATTAAGATGTTTCGTCACATAAACTAGAAATGACAGTGTTACTGCTAATAAAACCATGTGTTCATGCTTTTTCTCCCTAAACCATGACACGTGTAATTTCTACTATCCCTAGTGCTGCTAAAATTCACAATCTCCAACCACTTGAAGATTTCATCTACTTTTTAGGTTGGGTGCAGTGGCTCCTACCTGTAATCCCAGCACTTTGGGAAGCCGAGGCGGGCAGATCACTTGAGGCCAGGAGTTTGAGATCAGCCTGGCCAACATGGTGAAACCCTGTCTCTACCAAAAATACAAAAATATTAGCGGAATGTGGTGGTGCATGCCTGTAGTCCCAGCTACTTGGGAGGCTGAGGCAGGAGAATCCGTTAAACCTGGAAGGTGGAGGTTGCAGTGAGCCGAAATCGCATGACTGCACTCTCAGCCTGGGCGACAGAGCGAGACTCTGACTCAAAAAAAAAAAAAAAAAAAGATTTCATCCACTTCTCATTCACTACAACATTTATCAGATTGAACATCCAAAGAAAACATGCTGAGCAAAGCCTTCGACAGTTTTCATTCTTCCTGTATGACCCCATCTGCACACAAGCTGACTTCAACCACATCTGCGTCAGCGGGTTCAAAACCCTAGACCCCGTCCACTTGGACACCATGGGAGAGGTGGGTGCTGGTCCCCACATCACCTCCAAGAGGAGAGAGAGCTCCAGGTATGAGCCACTGACAGGTGCTGTTTCACTGTGCTCACTAAAATGACCTCGGCCATCTTCAAGTCTCCCAGGAAATGCAAAGTGCTGCCCCTGGGGACACACGGAGCCACCAAGACCCTCAGCGCCTCTCATCCACCGAGGGAACACCCAACACTGCCTCTTCCGGCAGGACCTGGCTCAAGTGTGGAGCCTGCAGGAGAACACCCACCAGACCCAGAACTGACCGTGAGGTGCCTCCTCACAGGTGACCTGCCGGGGGAACTTTGCCAGAGTGACCCATCACCAAGAGCTCCCGTGCAGGTGTGGAACCCCTTTAGGCTAAAACAATCCTGCCCACCACTCCGAGGGCAGTCTGCATGCTCAGGACACCAAACGCCTGCCCACAAAGCACACCCCTCCAAGGACAGCCAACGGAAGGAAGCCAGAGGCGGGGGAGGGAGTCGGCAGGTGCACTGGGACGCGGGCTCCGATCACAGCCCCACATGGCTCCTCCTCTGCAGACTGGGCTGCACTGGGCTGGACCTGGTCATCTCATGGGCTGTTGTTTTGGGAGCAGTTTGTTTTTACCACTTTGGACTGAGGCAAACCATGTGCAGGAAATAGCACCACCTTTAACTCTTCCGGTTCAGTGAGTCTTTTTTGTTTGTTTGTTTGTTTGTTTGTAGACGGAGTCTCACTCTGTTGCCCAGGCTGGAGTACCTCCGCCTCCAGGGTTCCAGCGATTCTTCTGCCTCAGCCTCCCAAGTAGCTGGGACTACATGTGCCCGCCACCAGGCCCAGCTAATTTTTGTATTTTTAGCAGAGACAGGGTTTCACCATGTTGGCCAGGCTGGTCTCAAAACTCCTGACCTCAGGTGATCCGCCTGCCTCAGCCTCCCAAAGTGCTGGAGTGGCAGGCGTGAGCCACTTACTGGCCGCAGTGAGTCTCAACAGGAATGCAAATGTTTCCACACACGTATACCCTCAGGGTATTTTAATGACCAAATGAGGCAATATAGATAGAAGTATTTTTTAACAATTTGAAGATCCAAAGAAATGCTACTTGACAATATGCTCATAAAGAAAGCATCCAGAGGCCAGGCACAGTAGCTCATGCCTGTAATCCCATCACCTTGCGAGGCCGAGGCGGGCGGATCACGAGGTCAGGTGGTCAAGACCATCCTGGCTAACATGGTGAAACCCCGTCTCTACTAAATATACAAAAAATTAGCCAGGCGTGGTGACACGCACCTGTAGTCCCAGCTACTTGGGAGACTGAGGCAGGAGAATCACTTGAACCTGGGTGGCAAAGGTTGCAGTGAGCCGAGATCATGCCACTGC